TGCAAAAGAAAGAAGCCTTCACATCAGGAGGGCAAAGGTCGAAAGCGGCTGATTCAAACTTATTCATAATTATTTACGCTACGATAACTCTGACAAATGATTCCACAGCAACTCCTTAAGATGTTGTCACATTGAAAGCAGCAATTTTAAAAAATCACTGCAAGGACTTTCAAGATTTCTGAAAAGGACTAATCTTTCGATAGCGAAAGTCCGCGTATTCAGATGTATTTGGTTTCTTCCAATACCTCACGTGCAACCGAGAGAACTTTGCTCATCTAGATTTGTGAAATCGTCAAATTTAGCTATTCTGAAAGATACAACAAGGTTAGGGTTGGAACATTTTAGTTTTCAAATGAAGTCTTCGCTGCTGTTCACCCAGCAAACACACAGATTAATCGAAGGTCTCAGCAGGAGATCGATATGATTGCTAAAATCATAAAATGGAATAATAAGCCTTAGTGGCTAGGATGGTTTATGCAGTTTTATAATGCTGTTCTTTGTGATTTCTTCTGAAAATATAATCAAGTGAAATTGCTAAAAAGACTAAGTATTTTCTAAAGAAACTCCAGCACGTTTCCGTTGACCTTATTGTTATTTGGTGGCTTGAAACAGACGCTGCAACTTTCAATATTTGTAGTCTTCTGCTTTTATAATAATCGTCTGTCCATTTTCTGGCATTAGTAACAATTAAGCCATTGTCTTTCAGCATCTCCTGGAGATATTTTATAGCTGTTGCATTAATAAATGGCCGGATGACGCCATTTCTTAATATGGATTCGCAAGACACAGGAAACTTATTCAAAATTAACATTTTCCTTTGCTTTTAGATCTCTACCAACGTAGAAAAATGTATTTTCAACCAGTTTATATAATTACTGACATTCACATGTAGCGTATCAAAAGAGAACCTAAGCCCGGGAACAAACAGGTCTTTTTGAAGCTCAGTCCTGAAAGGATTTAAATCAAGGAATTTCTGAAAAATACCTAAGGCCAGAGTATCTTCCGCTAGCGGGCTGGCCGGGTCTTGATGTTTATGCACATTCTGGTGTATTCCAATTCGGCAGAAAATCAAAACAGGATTCTGTGTTGAACTGTATTTTATCAGTTAATCAACGTCTTTCTCGATCTTCACCTTCTCAACGAAGTCGTAATCCAGACAGGCG